TTCTTTTTCCTCCAACAGCTGCTGTAATCTCTTTTCTTGCTTCTTTCTTTTTCCTCCAACAGCTGCTGTAATCTCTTTTCTTGCTTCTTTCTTTTTCCTCCAACAATTGCTGTAATCTCTCTTCTTTTTTTTCTTTTCTTTTTCCTCCAACAGCTGCTGTAATCTCTTTTCTTGCTTCTTTCTTTTTCCTCCAACAACTGCTGTAATCTCTCTTTTTGTTTATTTTCTCGTTCTTTTTGTTTCTTTTCTCGTTCTTTTTGTTTCTTTTCTTTTTCCTCCAACAACTGCTGTAATCTCTTTTCTTGATTATTTTCTCTTTCTACTTGTTTCTTTTCTTTTCCTCCAACAACTGCTGTAATCTCTCTTCTTGTTTATTTTGCTGTTCGAGCTGCCACTGTTGCAGGTTTTCTTGCAAGTGCTGTTGTCTCTCTTCTTGTTTCTTTTCTTGTGTATTTTCTCGTTCTTCTTGTTTCTTTTGTTGTTATTGTATTGCTGCCATCAAATCTGCTAAGCTGTAGTTTGATTTGCCACTTCTCGTTTCCATTTTTTTCTTTTCCATCCCACTCTCTGTCACCAATTTGTTACGTCTCTGTTCGTTTGTTAATTTTCCATAAAAATGTACAATGGGCTATCTTATCTGTGCCAAACGCTAAGATTGAATACCAAATCTAACCACTGTAGGTGGTTTGTATAATAATCATATTGTAATAATTCATGAAATAAGTTCCTGGCAATTAGCGATCTGCAACAGTCCACAGACAGTGAATTTTCATGACAATTATACGACATAATCATTCATTCGAGCTTATATTATGTACATCGTATCCAGAAGCAGTTAGATATCGGCCATTTTTCAATTTCTCTGGTTCTAACATTATTTTCAATAAATTTTCTTCACTATTTTCATTCCATTTGCATCCTGCTCTCATAATATTTATACCCTTTGCTCTTTTAAATAACATAGGTTAATCATAACTTAATACAATTCATGTGTGTACTAACATTAGAATAGTCAGCACTATAGAGTGTAAGGTTCTTTTTCCAAACAAAACTGTGGAACTTTTCTTCTACACAAAGAATTTAAGTGACTTACATGAAAGTCGAGAGTTTAACTTAAACAATCAGAAGATAATGGACCTTTTAGACTTTTTAGAACCCCCTCCCCGCCTATGCCCCTGAATTATGTAAAGTATGTTTTCAGCCATTTACGTTTTTAACGAACACCATTTTAAACTTCAATCATATACGTTCACACATATACTGTTGCACACACACTGGTGAGATCCTATAGTGAAGTGACCATTATAATTCTTTTGATATTTTTTCAAACATTTATAGAAAATAAATTAGCGAATATAATGAAAATAATAAATATACACTATCCTACCAAAAGTCAAGGGACACATCTCTGATTACAGGAAAATGGGTATGACGACGAAATATGCAAATGGTTTGGCTTATAAAGGTGATCAGCAGTTCACCAGTGCATGTATGTATGTGTGTGTGTATATATTTATATATATACATATTTTTTCTCTTTCTTCTTCTTCTTTTAATTCATTTTTTTTCGCCCACT